GAGTGTTGTTCAGCATGGGGGTGAGTAGAAAATGAAGGCTAATCATGTTTTGGGTGTACTATTCCTTTAAGTCTCAGAAGTGTTTAGCACGCTCCTTGTGGTTTTGGAGATTGAACAGTAAAGGCGATACCTGATGTGCTAGCTAAACAGCTTGGTTTGCAGCTTTATAGACGGCTGTATGTGAACCCAGGAAAACACCAGCTTATCCAACTCCAGTTTTTGCTTTTTGTTTTATTTTAAATTGCTCTAATTAAAAGATAAAGGCACAATCAACACAGTCGACATTTTTTTTTAGTTATTTCCTGACAAAGAAGATTAGAACACATCTGCTTTTCTTAAACCGCTTTGTCCTGTGTCATTCCCATTATGGTAATTGTCTAAGAGAAATTTCACACAGTGTTACATCATATTTACACCCCAGAGAAACAGGAAATCCTCAATTTCACAAAATAAGCCCAGAGACAAACTGATCATTATGTGTTTGATTTAAAGGTTGGATTTTGCTTATTTTTCCAGCATCAGCCTATTCTACAGCATAAAAAAATAACCCTTTTTACACATCTTATTAAAGGACACCTACAACTGGTCAGGGCTCTGTATGCTAAGTTAAATTAAAGCCCCTTCTTTTTCTTGCAAACATTAGTCAGTGTGTTTGGTTTCCACGGGATAGAAGTGGATCCGCTGACTGTGGATATCTCCTCGTTCTCTCTGCAGCGGGTCATCCGCAGCAGAAGCCAGTCTATGGACGCCATGGGTCTCAGTAACAAGAAGTCACACACAGTCTCCACTAGTCACAGTGGGAGCTTTACCCACAATCCCGCAGAGAGCCCCAAAACCCCAGGGATTGTAAGTAGCCCATTTTGGTTGACATGTTGCCCATCTGTACACACGCAGCACATTCAGGACGCTGTGTTTTCACAGCACGGTGGATAATAAACACACGTGTGGATGATTTAAACCTAAACAGCAGCCTGATAAAATACTTCTACTGCCACTTCATAGCACTCCATCTGTGTGCTGTTAACACCGAAGCACTTACTCTTATTTCTGACATTTCATACTCACTCTTGCTGTGTACTCATTTTTCACTAATTGACTCTTTCCATTTTATGTTCACGTTAATCCTCTTTTCTGTTTTTGGGGGAAAAAAACATTTAAGCATTTTATTCATTGCCGTCTATTAGAAGTGTTGTTGCTGTGTAGATTGGCAGGCTTTTAGCTGCTGAAAATCTGCCTATTTTGAAATGAAGTAGTGATTGTTTTTGAACCCTCTCTCAGGCTTTGAAGTGAGCTCAGACTAGTACCTGTATGACTACCCAGACTCCCTCCCTCGTTGCAATGCTTTCATAATGAGTGTCTCCCTATTATAACTCTTACCGTAATGCTGCTTTGTGGATGTGTGGCTGGAGAACATGCATGCCACAACTCATAAACCTCAAGAGCACTCTGCCTTGTTTTGTTTTTTTCCTTTACCCATTTAAAAAAGGCTTTTGTTATAACAGTACCTGTTTATTATTTAACCCTCTTTTTCTCATGTTTTCCTTTTAATGCATCAGTAACTTGTATCCTTCAGGACAGTACCTGCCAGTATGTCTGCTCTGTTGATGCTCCTGCTCTACCCTCCTATATGACCTGAAGCTTCCTAAACCCTGTGAAGCTTTTTCCTATTTCCTCTACCTCATGTTTGCTTTTGATTCATGCTACAAGCTCCTTTTAAAGCTGTTTTCCCTCCTACTGTTACAATTCTTTCTGTTCTGTGCATGAGATTTTCTGATGTTTTTTTTCCTTCCCTCTCTTGCTTCTTCCATCTTTTATCTTCCTTTCTTTCTCTCTCTCTCTCTCTCTCTCTCTCTCTCTTTCTCCGGCTCCCTTTGTCCCGCCTTGTGTGGCTCAGTCATTGCTTGTCGCGGGGAAAAGTCCCAGTAAATATGGACGCCGAGGCAGTGCCATAGGGATAGGAACAATAGAAGAGGTTAATGTATATTCTCTCTTATCGCTCATCACATTTGTTTGCTTTTCTGATGTGTTTTCTTAAAGGAACAATTAGCTATTTCCATTCTAATTGAAATAGAACAAATGTTTTAGCAGATCTTGCTGTGTATGGGGGGGGGGTCTGTTGTTTTTAGAAGAAGTGAGTTGCAAAGACATAGTGTTCAGTGGTTGTTCTGATCATAATTTCATTTTTATCATTCATTCGTACAGAAAGTCACCACTGTGTTGTGCTCCGTGAGTTACTCGATTTTGCTGTTTGATGAATCAGTGATAAGCATGAATCCCCTGAAACTTGTAGCTTTTTTTCTTAACTCTAATGGGAGGAAAATAAACATCTGGTTGGGGTCATCAATATGTTTTTGTGCTCTTAAATACATGTTAACTCTCTGAATTACCTACATGAGAGATAAATCACCTCAAACCTTTGAGAACACTCATCTGGCTCCTATATAAAACACACACACTCTTGCACACTTGTATCTACAGTAGTTTGAGACAAATGAGTAAAATAAGCAATTTCTAACTTTTACTGCTTTGTCTGTGACATAGTGTATCCTGTACAGCCCCCCCCCCCCATAAAGAAATAAGCAAGCGGAAAAATATAAAAGGTTGCGTAACCGGGTTCTGTGAGGCTGCAAACTTTCTTTGTTGAAATACCTTTTGATTCACTTTCAGCATTCTCTCTTTTATAACTTGCCTCTCCTAACAATATTAGCAAATCTCAATTACCTGATGTTAGGTTCAAAAATGTAGGTTCGTAAAAGAGAAACTGAGTCCACACAGGAAAGAGATTTTCAGCAGCTCCTGCAGGAGGGGAGAGAGCCACAACAAAAGTCTCAAACTCTCTCACGGACCCCCCCCTGCAGAGCCTTTTTATTAGCGGATCATAACACATGGGGTGGGTTACAAAACAGAGTATTCTTCTGACAAGGCAATTGATCAGGTCATAGGACAGAATGCTCCTCTGACTGAATCACAAGAAAGAGTGAAGCATCACATTTCCTCAATGTTTTATATGCACACACATTAACTTTATAATCATCATTGAATAAACCTAACACCTGAAATGAGGTCCAGCTGTCCAAAAACATTTGCACAACAATTCACCAAGACTTGGTCAAAAGAATCTGCTATAAAGGCATCAGTCAGGAGAAGAATGAAAAAAGTTTTTATTATCAGTAATTGTAGAAAAATGCAGGACATCAGTGAGAACGTCTGCTTGGTTTTTCAAACTAAAATAAAAAAAAAAACACATGAGGAAAAAAAAAGAGGCTGATGGTAAGAAATCTGCCTATTCTCCTTTTGTCTGGACTTAGAAGACGAATTGCAAAAAGAAGCCTTAATGTTAAAAAATTTTTGACATTAATCTCACCAGAGTATAGTTATGATCCAAAGTTAATAAGATGGGTCACACTTCAATCAGAATGCACAAATAATCACATAAAGAGCAGAACACACACGAGTTAAACATGATGCGGGCATATTTCTCTGGATTTCTCTGATGGAAAATAGTTTCTTGTCATATTGAATGAAGTTATGAACGGCTCCAAATACAGTCCGTCTGTCAACCACAGCCTTCAGGTGTCTGCTTGAAAGCTGAATATGAAGAGTCTTTTTATTTTTTAATCGTCATAGTGACTCCAAGTGTGTTATCCATTAAGTTCATTATTCAGGATTGTCAATTTTGAAATTACCAATCCAGACTCCAGAATTACTACAACAAACAGAAAATGAGATGAAGGATGCTGTGCAGAAGTGATCTCTGCACAATCTGGTGAGATCTGGTGACCTTTAGCAAGGAAATATCACAAAATCAAGATGGAGGATGCTTTTAGGCTGCTATAAAAGAAGGCTGAATGTGGAAATTAAATCAAAAGTTTTATTGACTGAAATTAGTAATAGTGTGCCCACTTATGCAACCGTTTATTTCTCAAAACAGATTTTTTTGTATTGCAATTATACAGCTTAGATTATTTAGTTTGTATTTAATGTTTAATTTTCTGATAAATAAGTTATCTTGATTGGGCTGCATTGGACACAGTAGTTTGAAATTCACGGTTTATCTACTGTTTTTATTTTAAACTCACATTGTCTGAGCATTTATGTAACAGTCAGTCCGTGAATTGCTATTTCATATTTCTACATGATACTGCATCTAATACATACTGTACAGTGTGATGAACGCTGTGCACCAATGTCTTCTCCCAAAATGTGTGCCTTACTTTTTTGTCTCACTTGCACCCCGATAGTCATTGATCATTCCTGGGAAAAGCCCAACCAGAAAAAAGTCTGGACCCTTTAGCTCCCGCCGCAGCAGCGCCATTGGCATCGAGAACATCCAGGAGGTCCAAGAGAGGAGGTGAGAGGACAGCAGGGAGTGGGTAGTGAGCACAGAACAGTGTTGTGACAGATGGAAGGAAGGACATTAAAACAGATTAATTAATCTCTCAGAGGATGCAACGTGTCAGATCAAATGTTTTTACTGGATGACTTTCATGATTTGTAGTACCTTACAGAAATAGTCATTTAATTAAACTTTATGCTTGACAGCAACATACTTAATTATTTTGAGATGCAAGACAATGATGCATGGCTTATAATTTTTAAGGAATAAAAATCTAAAAAGTGTGGAGTGCATTTGTATTCAGTCCCTAGGACTCTAAACTTTTATGATCACGCTTTTACTAAAAGTAAAACTCCAAATCCTTAGCACCATGTTTGTAAAGAGCAAAAACAATACCTATTTAGGTCAAAAGTTTAGTCCAACAAGAGCTGTGAACCTCTAGAGCAGAGGTCTTCAACAGGTGGTCCGTGACCCCTAGGGGGTCCGCGGAGGTACTGCATGGGGGTCGCGAAACTTTTGGTTGATTCATTTTTTTTTTTTTTATATTCCCTCCTGAATTTAAATGTCTTTAAATACTCATTAACATGAATTCAACACACTGTAGTAAACAGATAAAAGGAGGCAAAAGATGTCTTTCAGTCATCAATGCACACATTCAGCAACACACAGGAGCTCTTTCAAGCTGGGCACCATTTCATTCACAACACCTGTCCCATCAACCAGGAATCAGAATCAGAAATACTTTAATAATCCCAGGGAGAAATTACTTTCCTTACATTTCTCCATCTGTAATAGAGTGACTATAGGACCGGTTGATATAACACAATTTCATACAATATATATAAAATTAGGGGGTCCCTGCTCCATCTTGTCATCAGTTTGGGGGTCCTTGGCCTGGAAAACGTTGAAGACCCCTGCTCTAGAGAAACCGTTTCCTCCATACTGTTTCTCTGCAACCTGCAGCTTTGACCCTGCATTAAACTCTTTTAACCCTCCAATGCTAAAGAGTTAATCCTATGAGAAGGTATTAAAAACAAAATAGCTTTAGAAATTAATCTTTGGTGTTTGATGCAACATATGCATAGCAATTCAGCAAAGAATGACACAGTGTCAGCAATATATTTTTTTATTGATTTAATTACCTTTTGGTAAATATGTGTCTTTCTTGTAAAATGTTTTAAAAAAATAGATGCATTTTCCATTCGAGAAGATTTTTTTCTTTACTTATGTAAAAGTTTATATTAAGACCTTAAAAACAAAATCTAATTGTGGCGTTTTGGTCTAAAGATCTAAAGAAGTTGCCTATATTGTGTTTCATGGGCTAATTTGTTCCATGTAGCTTTTTTGGCTCACGCAAACAGAAAATAAATCTGAGTTTTATCAAGGTTGCTGATCCCTGGTTTGGGTAAATTTAAATGCCTATAGAGTTGATGATGATGGATGGAAGAGCGCCTCTGATGTGTTCAACGCTTGAGATATTACCTTATAACTTAACCTTTCTTGTAACGCCTTGTTTTTATGACAATATTTGCACACTGACATTCTTTAATAAACTTGTGAACCATTTGGAAAATATTACATATGCATCGAAGCTAAAGTTCACTTGATTGGACTGTTAAGTGACCTATGAGGGTGCTTGGTGGTCCTGGCTTTTATTTCCGGGTGGAAGAGTAAAGGAAACTGAATATACATGTGCAGAAAAGTTTTTTTAGATTAGGACTTTTAAGCATTCTGAAAATTATGTGGAATTTTCCTCCACTTCAATTTGTTTTGGTATGTTCCCTAAAATCTTAATGAGAAACATTATTTGCTGTGCAAGGCACTTCATTTGCTGCTTTTTCATTTATTCTGTATCAGTGAGTTTGAATAAGGATAAAGTTTGTGATCAATTCAATGTAGCAGCTTAATTACAGATTTTTATGTGCACAGCTCTTCAGCTGTAGTGAGGCACATATTTGTTTAAGCAGTTTGACAATCCTAAATAAAACCTATCTGCTTGTTTTCACCTTCTGATCTCCCTCTCTGTGCATCAGCCGGGAAGTTTCTCCCAACACGCAGAAAACAGCAGACTGCAGCCACTTGTCACAAGAAAACAAATCAGGCAACTCCTCCGCACACAGTTCTCCGGAGTTTGCAGCCGCAAAGAACAGGTGACCATCTGCTGTAGTGCAGTGAAATATGTGAAAAGAGGCAGGTGTTGATGAGGTCAGAGTAACCAAGGTGTGTAGTCTGGCGATGTGTTGCAGGGCGCCTTCAATCCCTGAGGCTCAGGACCTGTCTCGCTCCTCCTCCAACGCCAGTAGCTTCGCCAGCGTCGTGGAGGAGCACGAAGCTGAGGAGGAATATGAAACCGGACTGGTGGGTATAGAAGGAGGCAGAGTGATGATCACATCTTTAAAAGCTCATGCATTATTAAAGCCACTCTGGCAAAACAAAGGCGCTTTTATTTCTCCCCTGATTATGTTGCCTTCTTTTAGTTTGGTTTAATATTTATAGGGGTGGTGCAAACAAATAAGTTGCAGAACAGCAGGCAATGCTTGCTTTAAAAAAAAAACAAAAAAAAATGGCTTGATGGATTTGATACATCTCCAGAATCACAAGCATACAAATATATTGCAATGTATGCATATTAATGTTTACTCATGCATTTTATTTAGGACCATATGTGTTTTAAAAGGGTTTCAAATAAAAGCAAATGTAAACCTGGAGTTAATCTGTAGTTGGGAGTTTTGATGACTTTTAAAGAACTCTTACAACCTAACTGGAAATGTTTTTTTCCAGGAAAGCGTGTCTTGTGTTACCCCCATAAAAAAGGACTCATTCGTTTACGGCTCTGTGGCAGAGGACAGCTCCTGCAACCAAGGAAGTTTTTCAGGTGAGTTTGGGAGATGATTGCTCACATTGCTGGGCCAGAGATAGCCTGAGGGCTTGATAAGCAGGTTGAGTCTACCATGTATCAGGGGAGTATCATCATTGGGCAGAAGAAAGAAGAACCCTTCCAGGATAAATCATGTCAAAGTGGACCACAGCAGTGAAAGCCACCTCATCTGATGCAGCTTAGCAAACAGCTTCAATAACTAAAGATTCTTTGAAATATTTCACAGTACAAGCATCTCCTTCATTTAAAACCAGATCTTTTAATGGTTGACTTTGTTCCATCAATCTATTGTAGTTTTTACAAATCTTTTTTTTTCCCAGCTTGAACAGCTGGCAGCATTGTTCGCTTGAGTTTATTGCTCTTGACAGCCACAACCATCTGTCCCCTTCCTCCCAGCAGCTTCCCGTCTTCAGCAGCAAGCAGACGACGTGAAGACGTCGGAGCCAAAAGGGACGGACGGTCAGCCCAAGACAGAGCGACCCCTGCAGGAGCAGAGGCGCTCATCGGTGAGGGAAAACATCAGTCTTTAAATGTCATTTCAGCAGGCCGAACATGCCCGCTTACAGTGTTCACCATGTTCACCTTCCCACCTTTAGATTGCTGTACATTTCTTATTGCAAGTATTTTGTTAGTTTGTTAGTTTTTTATAGCCTAAAGGGATGAAAAGATTATTACTAAATATTACTAAAGCTTCTATGTATCTAGATTATAAACATTTCCCATCAGAACGTCTCATTCTGATGTGTCCATTTAAATCCAACGGGTTATTATGATATGATTATGATATTATTAGACTGCATATTAGCGTCCCAGTTTGTGGTTAATGTTGATTTGAATTTGAATGATTTTCTACTGGTTTGCAGAACTGTTAGCTTCTCTCTTCTGATCAACATGTCGGCATCTGTTTTCAGGTAAGGCACCATGTTGCCCTAATCTTTGGCTAATTATCAACACTGCACATTAACGTTATGATTTATTTTTAAAGATTCAGTTATAGTTAGATTGGTGTTCTGGTTGATTATTGCACTTTTTGCTAAGTTTTTCACTAATTACTCTTATGGCATCACCTTTCTCATGCTAAAATACTGGGGGGTTTTTATTCATTAAGCTATTGCAATTTCAAATTGTTTTTTTTTTTTTTTTTTCGCTTCATATTTTATGGATTTATCTTTAAAAATCCTTGAATGAAGTGGGTCTTTGTGACAGTCAGCTGGTAGATACAAAAAACAACAACACAGAAATTATGGCATCAAAAATAGGTTCTTTGCTCATTTTATTTGTAGATTAACCCTGTATAATCTGTTAAATTTAGGTTCTATACATGCCTACATGATTTTAAAAGTAGAAAATTTTGTCACTTTACAAACAAAAAATTATATTGCTATAATTATCAATGGTACAGGACAGCATGCAGAACTAGAACAACACTTGGAGAGTGCAGACCTCTGCAAAGCAGCAAATTTTACTCCATAGTATGACATGTTTGTGAAACATAAAGCTAAAACATCCACATAATATGGAATCTTTCAAAATTATAATGAATTGCTCCTTGGCATGAGGTGCACCTTTCATAAAAATATCCTAAAAATCCTTTTCATAAGTTTATAAATAAGACACACTGTGTGTCTGCAGCCTCTGATGTTTGTTCTGCTCTAACCTTCTGTATTCATTCTGCTTTCTTGTTTGATCAGCAGCTCGAGACTTCGAGTCATGGCTACCCTTTGTTTTTTTCATATAATTTTTTTGCTTGCCTTCATTATAATACTTCCGGACTTTTTGAGTCCGCTGCTGAAGCTGTCAATAGTCACTGCTGCCTCCCTGTGGTTTAGTGAGGAATTGCTTGATCCATCAAACAAATTTACAGGGGCCTCTAAATATTCCTGCATCTGGATTGGGATCAGGTTCATCACCAAAATTTAATGAATCGTCATTAGATGAATCGGCATGAAGTGCACCTTTGGTAAAACATTGCATTAAAATCTATTGATAACTTTACAAGTAATCCTGCTAACAAACAAACACAACCGAAAATGTAAGTTCCATGGCAGAAGGAATAAAAATAGTCTCTTTGTAAACATACCATCATAAAAGAAAATTATTGAAACACCTTTGTCCACCCCTTTTTTTGTTTTATGTTGTTTTTTTTCCGGATAATTTACTGTTACAGCAAATTTTTCAAAAAGGTATGGGATCATTTTTTTCCATGACATCCTATTTATCATTCAAGTCTGATCAACCTGTCTTTATGTTTTCTGTCTTTCTTGTTACTCTTACCCTTTTCTTAGAATAATAAGTTATATAAGGGGAAACTGATGCAGAGAAGGAATATAGGTCCTGGCCAAGAGACTGGCACATCCTCCCTTGAATGTTCAACAAAGATCTGCTGTTTATCACCACAAACATTCACCTGTCTGGACATGTATCGACCTCTCGCCCTCATTCCGTCCTCCATGCGGAAAAACTTGTTCTCAAGTGGAAGCAGCATCGAAGCTGACTGTCGTCTGGCAGCTGGCTTAGGACAGGACATCTGCTCATTCTTCAGGCCAGGAAGCACTGATTATTACAGTTAAACTTTCAGACATTGTGGCTTTTTCTTACAACACATGCAGTAAAGCATTTGACTTTTTTTTTCTTTTTTACAGAAAGTTGGTTAAAAAAAGAAAGATGTAAAAAAAGAAATCAAAATTTTTCAAAGGACTGTGCTCGTCTTGCTTGAAAGAGTTAAACACTTCAGCTACAGTGCGGAAAAGAAGTATGTTTTTCCTCACAGGTTTTTCCTTTGTTTTTGGTCACACTATTTCAGATCGTTTAAGACATAACAGAACAAGTGAATGTTGTCTAGTTAGATGCACGTTGTTGTTTTTTCTAATTTTTCATTTATATAAAAAAAAGCCATACCTAACCTTATCCAAACTAAAACCATAACTGTCCCCCATAGCTAAGGACTAGCTTGTTAAACCATGACAGAAACCACTGCCATCAAGCAACTGGTTACTGAGTGTTTTCCCACCAGGCAAAAATTGGTTGAAAAGACCATATGATTTACGTCCAAACAAAGTCTACAATTGCTTGAAAGGTAAAAAGCTTTATTTTCAGATCGTTGAAAAGAATTAGCAAACTGGGTTTTCCAGACTAAGCTTTGGACTAAAGTGGAACAAAATCAGACGGACCAAACACAGCCCAATTTTAACAACTATTCCTGGACTAAATCCAGATTATGACTGAAAGGCTGGATTTAATGAGGTCTGGTGTGTTGGAGTGTTACACCACTGTTGATACAAATTGTTTTGTTTTATTCAGTCATATTGGAGGGTTTTCTGACATTAACAGCATTAAAAGCATGTAAATTCAGACTTTGACTAGGCCACTCAGAAGTCAACTCTTTGAAGTGCTACACTATTGAGCTGCTCCTTAATCCAACTACAAAACTCCGGAGAGGGTTCACCACTGTTCCATGTCATCTCCATTTGTGAAGAATGGTCTTCACGTAGGTTAGCTGCAGTCCTAAAACCTTAAAAGCAGCTTTGTAGCCCTGACAGATGTTTTGTTCAATTAGCTTTCCCCCCATTCAATGAAATCGTGATATTTCTGTTTACAGAGACCATCTTATTTTTATACTCAAAGTTTGATGATCTGAAATATTTAAATGTTTCCAAAAATCAAAGAGATAAATGTGTTTGGGGAATCTTTAATTGTCAAATTCCCTTGCCACTGTGACACTATATGTAACTCTGACCTACCCAGTGAGCGTGGCTTTATTTTAGACAATATTTTTCATGATGTTATTCTTCCTACTGAATATTTCTTTTCTGCAATGGACTGGTGACCTGTCCAGGGTGGACCCCGCCTCTCGTCCATAGACAGCTGGAGATAGGCACCAGCACCCCTCACGACCTCACTTGGGATTAAGCGCGTCAGAAAATAGATTATTTTTTTTTTGCTGAAAACAACGTTGGAATATTTAATTTCCGCAGGTCGATTAGTTGCTAGTGGTTCTAGCATAACTGATAAAGGTAGCGCTATGTTGGAAATGTGGGAAAAAGAAACAACAATCATGTTAAGACTTCTCTTCAGAAACTCTTTGTTCGTAGACACCTGCTGATGTCTGAGTACAGTGTTTATTCCACAGTACTGTGCATGGTGAAATTCTACTTGCCAAAACCCTCCTTCTCTGCACACTAACACAACGCTTCACATAGAAGGTTGTCCTTGTGATCTGTGTTTTATTCTAAACCAGCTACCATCAACATGCAGCACATATTGCTGTCAGGCAGCCAAATGTTACTGTTTCCATCTCTATTTGTAAAGTGTAATATATATAAATAACTGTGACCTACTGTAAGCACTACATTTGCTGTTCTCTAAAAAAATGCTGACCTTTTTAAAAAGCTTGAGTTTGTTGAGAAATGATCACACTGTGACGTGTCTTGAAGTTGCCTTTTTCATTGTGTCACAGAAGCTGCTTTGTTGGAAGGTCATTTATAAAAGGCACCATGTTGCCAGATGAATGTAAAACTATAAAGAAGAGGGAATATAAGGAAGGGAGAGACAAGTTGAGGAATATATTTCAGTAAATTGATCCCTCGATATTTATTATGTAGTTTTCAGGTTACAACATTTATATTGCATACAAAAAAGAGGTTTAAGACACCAAAGTAAAGATAGAGCACCCATAAGTTTATATTATATTCATTAAAGCTCTTTATAGTAAACAAAGTGGCATAGGATAACAGTAAAAAAAACATATTAGATGATGCAAAAATCAAAACAGAATTTAGATTCCAAAAGAAAAAGTTGACTGTTGAAAAGACTTAAGTAGATAAAGTCTGCCCTCTTGTGGCTCTATGTTGTTATTGCACATTGCTTTATGGTCCCATCAATCTACTGTACGTGTTTGCACTGCAGACCAGTGTCTATCAGCCACTTAAACACTGGCAGAAAACAAAAAAACCTTGCTGTGCTTAGTTCAAATGATTGTATATGTTTGTTGTTTTTTTTTTTTTGTGAACTGTTTGCTTTAAACCCTTGTTAAAAATGACTTGTTTGTAAATATTGCTTTTCATCTTTTTTTGTAAATGAAGTAAAGAAAAAGGTTTAGTAAAAATGAATATGAACACCACTAGTTCTGGAGTTATTTCTTCTGAAATGCTGATTTATTTCATGCAAAGAATGAGAGTCTATAATTTTGAAGTGATACAGTGTTGGAAAATCCAAACTCTGGATTGGGGGGGACAATAAACCTGTTTGTTCCCCTCCTGTCGGAGGGTGTTATAGGAGCATTTGATTTATTTAAGCATGCATGTCCAGTTTAATTTATCACAGATATAACGGGAACACCTTTGTTTACTGATATGTGGTACTTTTTAATCTCTTGGTGATGATTTTAGAAAATTATCTTGAAGATTTTCAGGTTGTCCTCTGCGGCAATTGGTGCCTAACTGAGGATTAAGTGATTGCATTCATATTCATCATTTTTAGATTTAATGACAAAACTACCTTTGCTCTGATTGTAAATTCTATTTCCACAAGATAGAAACAAACACGCTGTTCAGCCTGGATTATTACTAAGCACTCCTTCTGTACCACACCAGGTTTACTGCAGTGCAAGTATTGCAAAGGGTTCAGCCCCTGGAAATTTCAAGAATTCAAGTGGGAGAAACAGGGAATTGCTTTTCATTTACATCTAAATATAATTCAAACAAAGGCTTTGCTCTGACATAAAACAGCATTTTCTGTACCTATAACTACCGAAACAACTTTAACTGAATCCCAAAATAATGTAGACCTGGCTTTTCTCAGCTTCAGTGTTTCATTCACAGCTCAACGTTCCACCATTTGAAATCAAACGGCTTTCTACGGACGTTGGAGCCGCAGTGCACCTCTCCCAGCAGTTTGTGGTAGGAGGCAAAATCGTCAATGAACGTGCAGGTTAGACCCAGGCCCTCCATCAGGGAGCACATTTTGGCCTCCAGGACACAGCGGCCGTTCACCTTGGGGCCAAACGGCTTCGGAATGCCAAGATGTTTCCCCAAGACAATCATGTTGACCTGGAAATCAATGTTAAAATGAAGCCATTGAATTAGTTCAAATTTGTAGTGCTGTAAAAAAGATGTACCAACAGGTTTCATATTATTTTAGCTTACCTCTGTTTATCGCTTATTTATTACGCATAAATGTTTCCTGACAAACTATGCATTTTCCTAACACTTGAAGATAACTTGAATAATATAGTTTTCAATTATTCAAATTTTTTTCTAGAGTAAAACTGATCCACAATTAGCTAGCCTAATGTAAAACTATAAATTTTATGCTTTTTAAACCACAAACTAAAAAGTTTAACGCATATTTTTTTCAAATAGGAGGTTGTTGTCATTTACCAGCCCAGGAGTTACAAACAGAACTGTAAAACAGAAAAAAGTCTAAATATAGAATAGAAATGGAGAATTATAGAAATGATAACTTGTAGCGTGAGAAAATTTCTGTTTGGATTTTTTATTTTTTAGTTATAAATTCCGTCAAAATTTTCAAACAGAACACATCTGTAAAAGGACAAATACTTAAAGGGGTCAGAGCGCAAAACCGAGTTTACATTGTCATAATATCGACAGTTCAGTGGGTGAAATGGACACACAGAGAAGCTCAAACCCCATCAACACCTCCTTTCTCTGCAAATCTCACAATTCTACACCACCATAAAACGGGCAAATTCACAAAGCACCTAATTGACGTAAGTTCGGGGATGTTGCCTTATTTGGTTCTGGCCTGTACTTTTGTCACGCCCTGAAATTGACATACAGTAAATGCAGTGTTCCAGGCTGCACGGAGAAAGGGTAAAATTTTTAAAGTCTTCCCAAGGATCCAAAGACTCGACAGGCATGGATTATTTTTGTCTATCAGAAGATCCCTGCAAAGTTTGATGCTCAGCTGTTCATTTACTCTGAGCATTTTACCGAAGACAGCTTTCAAAAACTTGGAGGATTTGCTAAACTTCTTTTACTGAAACGAGGGGCTGTTCTGACCGTATGGCCATCACAACCACAAGCTGCAAGTATGATTCTGTCGCTAAGCTGTTGATAGCAATGCTAGCATATCTATTGTGACCAGATTCTGGGCATTTGAACCGGGGCTGGTCCGGGAACCCCGGCGGCCGGGACCGGAGCAACCGGACCCGACACTAAGACAGTAGCCTTCCCCCTGCCTACCTTACCGGCAGAAGGGGGAAAGC